AGCTAGCAGCACGCGAGCTAGGGGTACGTACACACGCAAACACTGGAGCTAGCTTGCAAATTGCCAGCATATGCAGCAAGCGAGAGGGGGATCGATCAGCCGGAGCAGCAGGTCACGGTGGTGGTGGTGGGCGTCCGTCCGTCCGTCGCGCTCCCGGTGTCGCCATCCGCCTTGATCAAGCTTTTGCCGCGCATGAATGGCGCCGCTAGCTGATGCGCAGCGCGGCGTTCCGATCGATCAGATTCGTGTGTGCTCCCGTGTGCGTTCTGATCTCAGTGGTGATGATCAGTCAGTACTCGTAATCAATCCTCTGTGATGTCTGTGTGTGACTGTCTCTCTCTCTTGATTTCGATCAAACTGCTGGCCAAAGTGCACACATGGCTGATGAGATATTGAGATCTCTCTCAATCGATCGAGCTCTCGCTGGTGAGCCTGAGATAGATCTAGGTTGGAAATGTCGCTAGCTGCATGCATGCGGCTCGAGCAGCGAGAGAGCCTTTGATGATGAGGGAGAGATCAGCTACTACAGAGATCTAATTGTGATCAATATGTTGGCATGCATGCTTGCATCCGTGGATGGCCCCAGCTGCATGCTATGCTGCGTGTAACACAACCCATCGCTAGCGAGAGCCACTAGTGTTGCTCTCATGCAAACAGATCCGTGTGTGCAAGCGGCGGCTACATGCATGCTCTCCTTAGGCTTATCGATCTCTCTATCATATGCATGCGAACACAATGCCGGCGGCACATGTACAGAAACTACTACTCTCGATCGATCGATCGATCGATCGACCGACCGACCGACGATCGAGCGAGAGATAACAAACTACTTTTCCATATCATATGGCCAATTGGCCATATCGATCGATCGGTCGCAGGAATCAAACTTTGCTTCCATATCATATGTCGGCAGAGATACACCATGCATGATATATACCCCCAAGTGTGTCCGAGCTTAGTGCATGCAGTTTTGTGTTGTCACAACTCATATAACAGCAAGATCAGCTAGCTGCCGCCGCATATATATGCTAGTTATCTCTCTCTCTCTCTCTCTCTCTCTCTCTCTCTCTCTCTCTTTCTCTCTGCTCTATTGTGCATGCCCGGCCCTATCAAGGGGATCAACATTACTATATACTATATATATTCCCCTGTTGACTTTCGCTTTGACTCACCCATGGTGCACAATAATAATGCAGCCTTGCTAGCTACTAGCTCTATCATCCATAGTGGGACACATCATTGGCAAATCATGAGTTTAATTCTTGTAAAGCTCTACACGTACTCTCTCGCGTTCCAAAATATAAATATTTCTAGAATTTTTCATGAAGCTAGATTAAGACAAGAGTTAAATAAGAATGGTTATAATTAGTTGCGATTGCCTTTTTTTCTTTCTTTTTAATTTTCCCTTGTCCCCCGGCAATGGTTGCAGGTTGCGTTGTGTAACTGAAACTCTGCTTTCTTTTAATATATATTGACGTGCAATTCTTTTGCGTGTTCATAAAAAGATCAAAAGTTAAATAAAAGAAGGTTGTAACGAGGGAGTAAGTGAAGAAGTTGATATGTTTTGGGGATAAAATTTAGATGCTAAAATAGGTAGTAGTATATTTTTGGATGGGAGAGTAATTAATTGTTCAGCTCGAGAATAAAATTACTGCTGGTAGTAATTAATTAGACAGTACATTTTCACTGAATTTAATCAACAACATCAGGGTGGGAATATATATACGCATGCATGTACCGCTATATACTCCATATATCATTCATGGTGTGCACTGTTTTGTCTCCACATGTGTAATAGAGAAAATGAACTGCGACATGCTGGCGACCTGCTCAGGGAGAAATAATTACCAATCACAGAATTATATTTTGGGAGCGTACGACCGCATATGCATGCGAGCCCGTCGCCTTTTTCCCGCTAGCTAGCTGCTGCTCAGATAGAAAATCTTCCCTGCTCGTCTTGTTTTTGTCATGAACAGTTAAACCAAATGATCCCCAACTGTTGCTTTTTCCGTTATATTTTTCAATTTCTTTCACCGAAGAAACATCAGTAAAAGGCAGCCCATCATAAGCTTTCATTAATTAGCGGTACGTGTACTTTTTCACTGAAGCTAGGAGCATGCCTAAACGTACCTGCAACTCTCATGTGAAAAACTCACCTACTAACATAATCGATTAGTCACGAGTGCATAATGAACACATATAGCTAGTGTCGATCGGCCGTATCATCAAAGTATGTTATCTGGACCTACAATAATCGACCAGCTTATCGATTGAAAGACAAAAAGGTTGTACGTATAGTTTGCTAGGTAGCATTGGTACGTTGTACTCCTTATATATTGTCAAATGACTTGATATAAAGTATGTAGTAGCACATAATAAGGCACGCAACAGTTGCTACTTTCCCAGCTTGCTGTCTGAGTGATCTCTGAACTGTTCTTTTGTTCTCAATGAACAATAAACATAAAAGCGATGTTATATATCATTTGGCCCTGAATGTTAGTGCAGATATTAACATATATATAGATACTCGTGCATCATGGATGCATCAAGATAAACCTAACCGCAAAAACATTTGCATGCATGTATGCACACATATCCTTAAAAAATATCCGTGCTTGCTTAATTTGATTATTGTTTCATTATTTGCATATATAAGAAGCCAAATGAAGATCAGTTAGCTCCTTTTTTACATAAATATGGTTGGACCAGCAGCTCTAAATTCCAATCCAATACTAGAAAGTGAAGTTTTATTCGCAACTGAAAACACCAGTGGCGAAAACAACAGCCAAACAACATGTTAATAATTAGATCGATCCCCTCCCTCACACACACCCCCTGTGGCGTCGCCATCGGAGCTTCTGTTCATGTGTCTCCGATCTGCAGCAGAGCTTTGCCTTTTTAATTTGTCCGGAGATGCATGCATCGATCGATCCAAACAGCTAGCTAGCTATCGAAGTATCGATCGATCGATCGATCTCGACCGCACATCGGTCCATCGATCGATCGATCGACCGAACATAGGATCATGTTGGGTTTTAATGTTTCTAATTCGTACGAGGACACAATATACATCGATCGATCCGTGGCGTACGTGTGCGTCGTCGTACAAGAAGCAGTCCCATGCACTAAGCTTCTCGTATGTACAGTGCTCATGAGTCGTACATACGTCCTCTTCTAATGCTAAGTCACACACATGTACACACGCTGATCATGCTCGATCTAGTCAAGACCAAACAAGCTGGCAGCAACCAATGATCGATCTAGTGAAATGTCTCGATCGATCCGCCATCGACTTCCTTGCAGTTTCCAACAGGGTAATTACTTAACACAGACGATAATTCTGTTAATTAGTTACCATGTATGGGTATGCGTATCAATTAGTTTATGTAGTAAATGTCCACGATCAGCTTTTCCAAATACTCTTAACTACTATAATTTATCTGAATTTACTTCTTCTAAAACACTCCTAAAAAAGATTGGAAGTACACTAGTCACGCATAATCAATAGAAATATTTTTATTATTAATTTTACTAATGCGATTTTTATTTGAAAAATCATATACTTATTTTTCATATATTTATATTTAAAGAATTATCTATAAGAAAATTATTATTATTGAAATCGAGCCAGCCCAACTGGTGTTATATTAAGAAGAGAAAATATGTATACACAAGGTGCTGTCAACTACTCCCTCCATTTTATATTGTAGTCGTTTTACTCTTTTTTTCTTGTCAAACTTTATCAAATTTGACCAATTTTATAGAAAAAATTAGCAACATATAAAATATCAAATTAGTTTCATTAAATCGAACATTAAATATATTTTAATAATATGTTTGTTTTATGTTGAAAATACTACTATATTTTTCTATAAATTTAATCAAACTTGAAAAATTTTGACTAAGAAAAAAGTCAAACGACTTATAATATGAAATGGAGGGAGTAATTACAAAATAAAACTGAGAAACCTACTACATTCCTCAACAACTCAAATGCCAGTTAAGGAAGATATTCTCTAAAGATTTCACACCACACAAGCTCCAAAGTTTCATTTCCGATCCTCCATAGAAAAAAGAAACTCCTAGATATTTCAATTTTCAAAAAACATTTCAAAAATCTATAAACTGCAGAGATTATTTTAGGTGCTCTGAGAACTAACACCTAGATATTTAATTAGGAACCTGGCTAGCTAGGGGTATATGTCAAGCAGTACCGGTACTATCTTCCGAGTCAGAGAGAGAGGGAGCAATTGGACCATTCACAATTTGAGGGCACAGTACAAGGCACAACTGGATGGGATGTAGTACTACTGTGGCTTCGCCACCGGATCGGATGGACACCACTCTAGCTAGTTACTGTAAGCATATGCTATAGCTAGCTATAGGAGCAAACATATACTGTTCCCATAGCCTCGAGATGCATATGATATTACGATGTGTAGTGTACATGTACACATATGGAGAGAGAGAGAGAGAGATAGAAGAGACCTGTCAGATCACTATGCTGAGTTACACATATATACGTACATGAAAAAGTCTTTCTACACGTTATAAGAGAATATCCCGTGCTTCTTACACACCATCTCTATATTTTTTCAAAAAGAGAAATTTTACCGTTCTTGAGAAAATATCGAGATACTAAACGTTAGTAAATATGGTTCTCTAGGTATCTTTTTAATGATGGTAAAATTACCATTTTAAAAAAGATGTTTCTCTTTTTCGTTTCGACAAGATAGAGCGGTGTATGTTGATATATCCATCCATCCAACCATGGATCTCATCTCGCTATCTATCTTAGCTTTGCTTGCAACATTTGCCTCGAAAGAAAGAAAGAAAGAAAAGGAAAAATAAAAACTTTTCTGGTGCTCGCTCTCCCGATCACTGTGGTTGGTCTCGTGCGTACGGGGTCCATGTGTGCGTGGGACCCCCTCGCCATTATTGCAACAATAGAAACCCTACCCCATCCTTCCTCCCGCTGTGCCCAACTCTCCCCCCCCCCCCCCTCTCTCTCTCTCCTCCTTCCCGTCTTCTTCCTCCGGCCTCTTCTCCTCTTATTGCCCTTGATTCCCCCGCACCACCGCTCACACTTGCTCCTCCTCCTCCTCCTCCTCCGCCTCAGTGCTAGGGCTAGCTTGCTTGTCGCCGTCGCCGCCGTCGTCGCCGCCGCAATGGATCTCGTGTCGCCGTCCGAGCACCTGTGCTACGTGCGCTGCACCTACTGCAACACCGTGCTCGCGGTAAACTCCTCGAGAAACCGGAGCAGCGGCTTAGCTTCGCATGCAGAGAACGATCGATATATGCTGCTGCTAGCTGCAGCTGCACCATGGCCTTCGTTCTTTGGTTATCTTTTGAATTGGACAAGAGAGCAAAGAACAAAGTGTTGGTTCTGTCTCGTGATCTCCTGCTGCTGCAGATTGCAGAGAGGGCTCTCACTTTGGTTTGGTCCAATCCTTTGGCTTGCTTAATGTGCATCATGGCATATGCTTACTCTCACACAGGACACAGTGAGAGAGAGCTAGCTAGATAGCTGGGACCAAATCCAGCTTCTTGCTTGCTCTCTCTGTGTCCTGAGGAGCTAGCTGCTAAGCTAGTGGAAACTTCCACTGGGGATTGTTCATGACACGTGATTGATGTGCCCTTGCTGTCTTCCTGCATGGTGTTTTATTGGCTAGCTCTCTTTTTCTTTCTTAGATAAAATTCATTGGCCATAGCTCTTGATATGATGCTTTGTGGTAGAATGTTCTACTCAGCTGGTTCTCTCGCAGTGTCATGTTCCATCTTTCGCTTCCATTATATCCCCTTCTTTCATTGTTACCAGCTGCAGGCTGCATTTTTAAACTGGACAAGAATCCAATTTAGTAGTACCTGCATCTTCTGTTCTTCCATTAAAAAACAAGTACTACTGAATCTTCTCTTCTTCCTTTTCTTTTTCCCTCTCTGTTTTGCATATCCCACTTTATTTGCTTGCTCCATCTAGATTCCTTCCACACAGATATGCTGTTCTCCTCTACTTTTTCTCCTTAAGGACAGTGCCATGCAACAAAGAGATGAAATTAACGAAGAAAGTATTGGCTTAATTGCATGATGTGATTAATTAATTTTTCGTCTTTTGGGTAGCTGCAGGTTGGAGTCCCATGCAAGAGGCTGATGGACACCGTGACCGTGAAATGTGGCCACTGCAACAACCTCTCCTTCCTCAGCCCGCGGCCGCCGATGGTGCAGCCGCTCTCCCCAACTGATCACCCCTTGGGCCCGTTTCAGGTCAGTCCTCTCCTCTAGCTAATTAAGCTAGCGTTTCATTCTTTTCTCTCTCTCTTTCTCTGAATCTCCTTGCAGTTCTTGATATTTTTCCTCCTCTTTCTTCTTCTTCTTCTTCGTCGTCTTGATCTTCTTCAGTTCTCGTGTTGCTGTTTCTAGCTACTTTCTCTTTTCTGCATATGGGTAGCTTCTTGCGAGGAGAAAGGCTGGCGATAAATCTTTCTCCTTATACAAGAAAGGGAAGACATATAATTAAAGAAATTATTAATTGCACATGGAGAGTGGGACTTTTTTTTCTCATGAAATATGGTTTAGCAGAGCTTTGGGGTGTTCTTTTGTTCGGTTTCTCTCTCCTCTTTTCCCTTCTCTCTCTAGCTCTCTGTGTCCTGTCTCGGCTTTATGGAGCCACTCAGAATACTGTTTGCAAGGCAAGATTAAACAAAGCTGGATTGCAAAAGATTTCTCTCTTGCCCATCTGTGGCCTGGGAAAGCCTCATGCTGCAAAAGCGGCCGGCCAGTTCATCTTTTTTTTTTCTCAGGCAGCATATGCTGCTAGCAGCTGCTCTACTGTGGCATTCATGCCTCTCCAAATTAAACCTGCATTTTTATTTATTTACTTCTTTTTTTTTATTTTGGTGTGGAAAGATGCATTCATTGCCTGTTTTCCGAGTTGACTAGTATAGCTACTTCTACCCAAGCAGGGAGAGAGAGAGAGAGAGAGGGAGAGAGAGAGAGAGAGAGAGAGAGAGAGGGAGAGAGAGAGAGAGAGAGAGAGAGAGAGAGAGAGAGAGAGAGAGAGAGATCTGAGAAAATAGTTAGGAAATGATGATTTTATCATCATCCAACTACTACTACTACTACTACTACTACTACTACTACTACTACACTGATCCATGCATGGCAAGCGTTTGAGAGATCTTGAAATGTGCTAGAGCTGGAAGCTAGTAATTAACCTTGGTTGCTTCTTGTGTTGGATATTTCTTGGTGTTAGGGACCTTGCACTGACTGCAGGAGGAACCAGCCGCTGCCGCTGGTCTCGCCGACATCAAATGAGGGTAGCCCAAGAGCACCCTTCGTTGTGAAGCGTAAGTAGCAAAGCAACTATATGCACACTTCACTTGCTATATCATACACGTGCATATATACCAGCTAGAGTAGATATCAATATCTTTCTAATTAAATTTCTTGCTTGCTTACTGCTCATTTATATCAGTCATTCAGTCTCTCCTTAGTTTCTTGCTAATTGTTAACTGTCTTCTTCTGACGAGTCCTTCACTAGCTCTCTGTGTCTTGTGTTCACATGGAATATATAAATATGAACAAACAGCTAGCTAGCATATCTTGTGTTTCCTCTGACAAATGTTTTTATGTCTTCCATTGTAGCCCCAGAGAAGAAACACCGCCTCCCATCTGCTTACAACCGCTTCATGAGGTGAGAAACTATTTACCTATTTGTCCATGCATTTATCTTATATATATGCTTGTGATCCCTAATATGGTTTGCACTCATGTGATCTTATATATATTTTTTCTATTTGTTCTGAGTTTTTTTTTGAGGGAGCTAGTAGTGGTTCAATATTTTTTTTATTTGTCCTGTACTATAAACTCTATGAGATCTGCACCTGTTTTGGGAGAAAGTTTCGATTTTATTGAAGGGGATTTATCCCCTTCTAAAAGAAGGAAGAATATACATAAAATAATTTATCATCCAAGGTCAGGACATTTTTATATTGTAAATCTCAGTACACTAAATAAAGGCTACTATAGCTAGTGTAATTTTGTGAATTGAAGAATATTAATTAATTTGTTTCTGTTAATCAAACAAAAACACTCTACTCCAGTAATTTACCTAGCTAGACCATTGTGCATATTATGGATATCTAGCTTGTTTGTCATTTTGTGGATATTTTCAAAAAAAAAAAGAAATAAAGTGCATCTATGGTCTGACTTTTTTTAGGGCATCGATCTATGGTCTGATTTAAACCTTGTGATAGCTTGGGGGTTTATACATGGATATGGTGAATGAATTGTATATCTAAAATAAATACCCCATTTTACATTTTTTTTAGTTGCCACTATATATGTTCTTTTCTTTAATATATTTTGTTCTTGTTGATATATAGTGAAGGGTCTCTCTGTTTCCAGGCTTCCATGTCCAGCTGTTTTATTTAGCTGAGATCTCTGCATATAATTATAATGTGGTCCTAGTTATTGCCAATTTGCATTGATTTTATCATATCTCTATCTCTCTCTACATATATGTATATGTTGATATACACATTTAACTTAGTTTATTATTTAATTAACACTTATTTTTAACAAAAGTACATTTATTTTTGTTTAATTTATTCCTTTCCCTGTTAATTGCTCAGGTTTTGGAACAGATTCCAGGCCATGATAGTAATAATTAATAAATTAGTAAACACATTTTCCTTTGAAAACACATGACCAATACACATCTTTATTTTTTTTGACAAAATACATCTTTATTTAATTCAATGAGCTGGGCAGTACGTTCATCTTGATTCCCAAATAATTTTATAAACACAAGAAAAAAAACACTTATATCATAGTTACCCATATATAACTATTAATGCCTGTGTGCATCTTATATCTGATGCCTGCAGCCTATGCTAGATATTTATTTACAATATCTAAAGCAGTTATGATGGTTAATTTGTTTCAACAAAATGAAAGTAAAAAAAAAGAGTTTTGGTGTTTCCTGTTCACACCAACAATCCTAATATTTTCATACATTATTCCTGATATTTGAACTACCTTTTGTTTGTGTTATAGAACGTAATCATCATTATTTTTTATAAATAACTAGTCAAAGATTATTTTTCAATATTTACGACAAATTATTACATCAATACGTACGTGTTACATATATTTTATAAACAATTGGATACAATTATGTTTAATTTCTTCGATATAAACACTAAGTATAAATGCTACTCCCTCCGGCATTACAAGATAATTGAGCTATTGCCACCAAATTATTACAACAAAAAATAATTTGTAGCAATATATTGTACTATTGCAATGATAATTTTTCTGTGGTAAAAAAATATATTTTATTGCAATGATCTACAATTGTTGTTTTATTTAGTACTTTTGTTGCAATAGAAAATGAGATATCGCCACAAAAAATCTTACTGTTGCAAAAAAAATATGTTCTATCGCCACAATTTTAATTTTTGTGGCAATTTACATAATAATGGTACTTTTCACTACTTTTTGTTGCCACAATCAGCAAATTCGTTGCAATAAAAAAATTGTCGTCTCATAATTTAACTTAATTTTTTTCATATGGATACGGATTGAGACAAATTTTATATGGAAATTATAGCTCTCGACGAGATCTATAATTTTATAGTTGATAACTTGTTCATATGAAATCTTTTAGATATTCAAATCTTAGTTAGGTAGGCTCAAATGGAACAATATACATGGGTTCGAATCCTAGCCAAGACACTGTATAAAGAAATTAATAGATAGGATGATAGATTAATATTTGAACTTTTAATTTGGTACGTAGAACTAATGCCACATATGGAGTGGTGGCAATAATTTTTATTACAACGATATGAAGTGTTGCAATATGATTTTTTGCCACATCCATTCCGTGGCAACATCTAAATTTATTACCACTAAATAAAAATTATTGCAATAACCTATTACTACACTATTTATTACCACGGCTAGCAACGATTTTAAAATTGTGGCAATATGTATCTATTGCCACAATTTTAGTATTGATGCCACGATTTTTTTCGTGGCAACAAATAATTTTTCTAGTAGTACGGGTTGATAATACTTGTCGTTTTGGATAAGGGCACGGTCTTCAAAAAAACAACTTTGACCATTATTTTCTATCATAATATGTAAAAAAATATTAACAAATATATGATCTTATTAAAGTACTTTTAAAGACTAATCTATACATGTGGTCACCATATTTGAAAAACAAATATTTTGAAAATGATTCATAATCAAAGATTTTAAAGTTTGACCTCACCCTTGTCCAAAACGACAAGTATTATCAGCCCAGAGGGAGTATCCTTTTCTGAAATTTTTTAACTAAATTAAACACACTTAATTTAAAAGTAGTTTCACCTACCAACCTACCTGCTATAAGTAACACACACTTGTTGATGTTAAATTCCTGATAATGCAAGCCATCTTGCCTTTTAAGTGTTCATTGTTTTGTTGTTAGAAATTACTAACGTAACTGTAAAAGATGGGGCTGTTAATTTGTGCGCCCTTGTAGTATAACAGTTTATTAAAAAAACTAGATCATTTTGAATAAAAGACATTAATTTATATGTGCCATCTTAACGTGTACAACTTATGGAAGTTTCAGCATGCTCTTAGATGCCCATCCATGGGATAGTTTTAATTAAATTAACCGACCCTTCCATAAAATAGTGGGTGCTATAAATTTAAGTTAATTTGATACTGCATTGCTACTAGATTGACCATTTCTTTAATTAAATACTAATTGAGTTAGTAAACCAATTATTTCACTAAAACTGAATAAGCCTAGGACCAATCTATATATTTTTATGGTGAAAGTTGGATGCAGGGGAAATTTCACAGATTCGTGGAAAATTAAAATGGGACAATATACTAGCTTGAACACAAATAAGTAGTATCAAAAGGTAGAACATATGATATATTAGCAAAACACCACACATGCATTATTATCCAATGTGTGCGAGCTAATTATTGTACATATGCTAATGCTACTGTAATATAAATCACATTTAGTACTCCCTCCGTCCTAGAATATAAGAAGTTTTAGAGTTGAACACGGTTATTAAGAAAGTAGGTAGAAGTTAGTGGTGGAGGGTTGTGATTGGATGAGTAGTGGAGATAGGTGGGAAAAGTGAATGGTGGAAGTTTGTGATTGATTGGAAAGAGAATGTTGGTGGAGAAGTTGTTATATTTTAGGATAAATTCTAAGAGCTGAAAATTATTATATTTTGAGATGGAGAGAGTATCAATTAATCTTTTTACAGACCCGTACTTCGATATATCATCGATGAAGTAATTAACCAAAGGGAATAAAATATGCATGGGACAACTAAACTGGGATATATATGTAGACAATGCCAGTTTATATCTAATCGACACAACCATATGCATATATGCATTGCATGTACCTACGTACGTACTACACTCTCTTCTCAGAAATAAATCTGCACATGGATATTTTAGCGGATCAATTAATTATAATTAATATATGATGATGCAGGGAGGAAATACAGCGTATCAAAGCTGCCAAGCCAGATATCCCTCACAGGGAGGCCTTCAGCATGGCTGCCAAGAACGTAAGCTCTACTCATCCCCAATATCTCCCGGCCCCCAATTTGCATGTGATAATTGTGACAGTTATTAGCTATAATCAACCGATCCATCGGTCTCTAGATCTCTCGCACCTTGCTTACACATCAATTACTAGTACAATAATATTAATTACTTGCACCGATGGAGATGCAAGTGTCTGATGATCAGCTCTGCATTTATGCAGTGGGCGAAGTGCGACCCCCGCTGCTCATCGACGGTTTCCACCTCCAACAGCAACCCCGAGCCCAGAGTAGTAGCTGCTCCCATTCCTCATCAGGTGATGATCATATTGACGATAATTAACTTGCCATAGCAACAGAGACACCGATCATATATACATACACACAAAATGAGAGTATAATTAAGGCAGTTTCTCTATATGATTTGATTTATTTGATGCATGGCCACCACAAAACGATTATGATTTTAGATAGTTCTTGTGTGATATGATCTCACCGTGGAATTGTTCTTTAATTATGTGCTATATTATTGATGTTATATCAGGAGAGGGCCAACGAGCAGGTGGTCGAGAGCTTCGACATCTTCAAGCAGATGGAGCGCAGCGGCTAGGGCGGCGGCGGCGGCCGGAGCCGGCGGCGATCTATATCGGCGGTGAAGCTCGTATGAAGCTAGCTAGCCTGCAGGCCGGCCACTGGGGAGAGTACCAAATTTCAGATCCCCCTTATTATCACCGTCGTCAGCTCAGCTCATGCATGCATGCTCATCGTTCCCCTTTAGCATATATCTGTGCTCGTTTTGTGTTTATTAGTTAATTATGTTTGATCTTGTTAATTTGTTGTTGCATGGAGTATGTACCCCCTATAAGACCCAGCTGCTGCTACCGTACGATATACGTACGTATGCTATATATATATATATATATATTTGTCATCTTATAAATCGTGTGCAAAGTATATGTCATGTGTTCAAGTTTCATACTATAGTTGACAACTGATATAATTAATTATCATATGTAAAATACGCATGTTTGCAGGTTTTCACATATATAAACACGCAATCAGTAGTCAGTGCAGATCTATCTCTATATATGTGAAATACAATTATCTGTAAATTTATTTTTCAGATAAAGGAGATATTTTACTGAAGATAGCACCATACCACTTTGAAATGAATGTTTGCCATAAGTAATTTGGAGGATTCAATTTCCTAATTAAGGAAAAATTTTCCTATAGAGCCCTTTGATTCATAGGAAGGATAGGAAATTTTTCATAAAGGATTGCACTGCTATGGTTCAATTTTATAGGGGAAAAATAAGCAAGAGGTCAAATCTCTTGGAAACTTTGCTTTCCTTTGTTAGTTCCTACAATGCTAGCGAAGAGCTCCTTTTCATCTTTCCTGCGCTTTTTTTGTACGATTAAAGAAACATGCAACTACACAATTTCTGCATTTTTTTTCCTTTTCTTGTGTTTTTTCTATCTTGCGTTTCATAGGGCCGGGGCCGGTTGCTCAAATACTCTCAGCTTGCCTTACATATGTGCATCATTCAGGCTGACCTTGGTGTGGTTAGCAAGGTGTAATAGTGGTTGTTTGGTTGCATGTATTAGTTTAACCTGGTTTTATATGAGGTGTTGTTTCATTGGTTGGATCGATATGTGAAAACTTGTATGCATGGTATTCGTTTGGTTGGATAAATGAACCTTGAGTATACTCATCTTTCTATGTGGATGGTAAGATTATCCCTACTACCCATAAATAGAAATATTACCAAGTGCAAGATACTCTAAATTATTATAAAATACACACATTTCAGATATAAATGCAGCTAAGTCAAATAAATTCATTGTTTTTTTAAAATAAAAATTGAATTCATATCCATATATCCATGAACAGCAAAACCATCATCACATATGTACATGACTACTTGATTGGTGAAAAGAAAAATTAAGGAAGAGGAAAAGGGCTAGGGGGAGGGGGTGGGGGAGGAAAAACAAGGGGCAACTTCGTGGGCTCGCCGCCGCTGAGCCAGACCCACTCACTGCCCAATTGCTCACCACCATCATAGAACCAATCCGCTGGTTGGGGGTTCTCCATCGTCGGATTTGTAGGTGTAGCCAGCGATGATGGTGGAGATGGCTAGGGGCGTGGCATCTAGCAAAGAAGGACGAGGATGGCAGATCTAGTTGGGGGTGGCCGTCGGCGAAGAGGTGGAGGCGAAAGCGATGACGGTTGCGGCCGGCCAAATCCAGTCGATGAAGAAAACCCAAGTCGATCGGATCCAAGCTAGATCTGAACGACCAATGGAGAGACGACAACAACATGCATGTGGAGATGGAACAAATGAAGCTCGCAACTCGCAGGCCTGGCTTAGGAGCGCTTTTTGCACAAGTGCGGCCTAGCCCCGATGGTCGTGCATGCCATGAAACCTCCCCTACCGAGCACCTATATGTGCGTGCGAGCCACCCTCTAAGCAGGTAACCAAACACGTAAGCCCTTATACATCTAAAAACAACTATTAGTAGGATATATGCTTTCTCTGAATTAACTGCATGTAGTGGCGGAGCCACCGCCCGGCTAGCCTAGGCAGTTGCCCAGGCTTGCCAGTGAAAACTCCATTAAATTTTAATATTGACTAGAAAAAATACCCGTGCATTGCAACAGGTGAATGCTATTTTAATCATATTGTTATTAGATTTTTTTTGTCTAAAAAGTAAATGGGATTTTTATTTGATAGTAATGATATCTATTTGGAACTCTTATTGGGATGATGGCCATATCCTGTACGTTGTTTTCTTATTGTCTGGCAAGAATTCTTAAGCAATTAGAAGTCTCATTCTCATCGTAGGTTAGCATGTAGTATTTTAAAATGATTTCTTAAAAACCTTATATTTTTGTCAAAAGTGAACGAACTTAAAAACCTGCTCAAATGCAAACGATGTACCAAAGTATCAGCGAAAAACAACTTCAATTTTTATAATAGTAGAGTTAGAGATGAATAAATTGATGACGGAATTAATTTCTTTAGTAAATAATAATTATATTGAAATTTGTGAATTGAAGACTAAAAATCAATCTAGCTCCGCCACTTACTGCATGCTACTGTGTTTTATCACAGTGTTAATCCATGGTATACTGTTCCACCACTTTAAAATTTGATAATGGTACGAACTGGTTTCTAAATATGTAAAGCACTGGCCAGCTCCAATAACAACTTGTCAAATTAAGAAACCCACAAACGAAAGGCAATAATAGCCTTCAGCACTGCAGGAGAACACTACTGGTCCTCCTCCCTGAACTGGATAGGGCAAAATTAAACCATGGTGAGGACTGCGGACCATATGCCACACGGCCAGGCCACTACTTTTAGTGATGCGTACTACGCATATATATATGCATCGATCTGAGATATTCTGGATTTCTGGCTACTGGTTAGAGTGTGAGGACCATCTTTTGACCCAGTTTATAGAGTGATCCGTATTGGACACAGATATACATCAGCTTAGATATTCTGATGTACCATTCGATGGTGTAGTCTCTTTCCTTTGTATCTCCGTCTCTATCCCATACGTTTTTGTCTAGAAATTAAAGTCACAAAAGTTAGCCTGATTAAGACAGATAGTACTATATTACAGTACCATATGTTTTCTTGGTGCGAATTCGTTCCATGATGTATGTTGGAGTGTCAATTTGCATGGCCTTTTTTCGCTTTAATTTGGTTCCACGAGATCATATTGCGCTGTTAATTTAATGGCAGTATTATTCAGTTGATTACTTGAATAATCAGTCCGTTACCAGAACTCCAGAAGGATGCGCAGAGAACCTGAGAGATCGAGACGGTAGAGAAGTAATTTTCAGGTAGCGTCGTCAAAATTCAGTTCAGTGTGCATGCACTGTTGGTCTGTGCAGTAAGATTTTCAGTGGCGATCGAATTGAAATTAAGTACTCCTTCCGTTACAAAATAGGAAAAATAAGTTTGTTTTGAAGTTCTTTTCGTTTATCCGACAATAAATTTATTTTTAAGTAATCCTTACATCAAAATTTAAAGTAGAAGATAAATGTATTGAGAGTAGGGTAAAATATATAGAAAACAAGTACATTGTGATTGATAAATAAAATTAATTTAATCTTTTTGATTTTGTATTGATACGTGTGAGATGGATAAAAAATGAACTTATTTTAGAACGGATGGAGGGAGTAGGATTTTCAGGTAGAAATCAGGCTAACTGCAGGCAATCCATTGCTTCAGTAGATCATGCATGATCTTCTGCATATACTTGCAACATTGCAATTTTAATTTGATTTTCTGCCGGCGAGTCTGCCGTCCCTTGGGCCGGGCGGTACAAACACCGCTGCATATCGTGCTCTGTCCAGTGTTCAGTATGAGTAAGTGCATAACGCGACACTGATGGCGGTGGTGGCCGTGGCGGCGTACGTACGCGAGGACGCGAGCCGAAGCACCACGTCGCGCCGCGCCTCGCCTGCGCGCGCGCTGTGCACGCATGTTCGTCCAGCTGCTGGCGCGGCGCGGCCGGCCGCCGGGCGGGCGGGCCCGTCGGCTCGGTGGGAGTTCCGTGCCAGTGCCGCCTCCGCATCGCTGCGTGTGGAAGAGGGCGCCCCCCTCCGCGCGCGCGGTCGCTTTCTGCCCGCGCGCCCGCCCGACAGCGCAAAGGCAGGCAGGCGGCAGTGCGCGTGACGCGTCCGTGCAGCGCAAGGACGGCCGACGGCGACGGCGAGGGCCCGGTGGTGCGGGTAACCAACCGGCGGTGCCGACAGCTACTAGCTAGCCGCGCGATCGGGCGACGGCCGCCGCACATGTCGACTGGCTGCAGCCTGCGGGTTGTTTTGGCATTTCGTCGAACAGTCACCGTGCAGTAACTACCGCCAACAGTAAAACGTGATTCGAACGCCTGCAGAAATAAATCGCGCTTACTTCGCAACGGCCACAGATCAAAACCACGTATCCATCAGCATATTTCGGTATAATCTAAAAAAACAGCATAATTTGGCGATCGCGACAGCAGCAGAGACAACATCATTATCAATATCTCATGAGATAACAGCTGCCGTCTTAAAACATTTCTTGCACTACTCCCTAACATAATCTCCACAAGTTTTTGAGATTAGGTACTCTCCCAGATCATCACAAATATAAATTTAAGTGCCAATTAACTTGTTACCACATCCAAAACGGAAATTGTTATACATGGACGGTCCTACGATACAGTGACAGATACAGACATACAGTACGTGCATCAAACGAAATTATTATTCCCCTGATTAACTGTTTGGGGGAGAAGGTCGTAAGAGAGCACGCACGTACTTAGCAAAATATAGATCAGGGATTACATTACATTACATTACATATGCCCTGTAATTACTGGATTACAGGACACTGTTTGCATTGGCTTCTCTGAAGCCTGAAGCCTGAACTGAACACACACATCATATCCAGCCGGATGGGATGTGTTCATTGGGGTGATGAGCAACCATGTCTGCTGCTTCATTGCTCAGATGGTCCATGTAGGCCTGGTGATGGTGAGCATGAGGGTGATGATACCTTCACCAAGGAAAAATTAAATTAAAGCTATGAAAACGATGGAGTATATATACATAAATTTTAAATTACTGAATAACAAAGACAAAATTAGGCCCAATTTGATCTAGATTATTGGGCGAATTATTGTCAGGATTATCGATATACTCGATTATATAGTTATAAATTAAATATTTGAAAAAAAATAAAATATACAAGTAAATCGAGATAAGTGGTCTAAGTAATACATAGCAAACCATCTTTTAAGAAAGTGTATTGTTCGAACTTGAGCAAATACTCTGTTTAATAATTTAGTGAATAGTTTAAAAAGAACATGACCTCTGCATTTTGGGAATTTTTTCAGGCAAGAAATTAACTGTAACTGGAAGAAAAGAAGAATACCCAATCTGCAGGGAATGGTCACCCTGATCTGGGTGAGGGTGGAGAAGACCCTGATGGTGATGAGGCTGATCAGCAAGAACAGTGCTAGAACCGCTGTGCCCACCACCATCTTGCCAGGACATATGGAGCACATTCTCTGCACTGGTTTCCTGTAACTGCACGAACAAACAAACGCTTCAGCGGTATGAGAAGCTGATTAACTTTTAAGCCGTACCGGGGAAAAAGGTTTATTCCGTGCAAATACTGTAACTTTCGTGAAACATTTTAGCAGCCATGAAAAGATCATGGTTGGGACTTTAGCAAGGAAAAAGATGTATGTTGTCCGAATACTGATGCACGCAATGACTTTCAGGGTGATCGATGGCTGTGTTACCTTTTTCCTCAAGTCTTTGTTGAGATCTTGCAGCTGTTGCTCCTGCAGAATCAATTTTAGTGTTTGTCATATGTGCACAGATTTAATTTAGGTGCAGAGGAAAAAAGAAAAGAACCAGAATTTATTCAGTACCTTGCTCTTCAGATCAAACAGCTGATCAAGCAGTGCTTGGTTCTGCAGAAATATTGAGCCTGTGTTAAAAGCCATGCACATAAACAAATCCATACAGTTGAGGGGTAATAAGTACCGAATTACATGATAGTTGCAGTAAAAAATTATAATAAGCTCATTATTAATCTAATCTAGGTTCAGTGTTTAAGAAGAGCATATCAAAAAGTGCCATTTGCTTGCATAGGTAACATGGCGAACAAACATTTTTACCTTTCTTGACCTGATTTGTTTGAGGGATACTTCTATCTGGTTCTCAAGCTGCTCCAGCTCCTTCATGCTTAGTGGGCCCAAATCCTCACCAAGAATATTTCTGCATGGTGTGAAGTGCTTGCTAGTAAGTCATAGAAACTCTGTCCCTCAGGAAGAACATAGCAACTCTGTAGTAGATAAGAAGCTGAAATGATTGGCCACATTCATCTCTGAAGACTACCTCTGTGTGGTTTGAAGAAATTCAACTCTTGTTTTCAGCTTCAGGTATTCTTGGTAATTAATCTGGTTTAAACAACAAAATTGCAGACACACGGATTAGCTCATGACTCCTGAAGCTACAAGATATCAGACCATATTGGCCGAAGGGGAAAAAAAAGATGGTTAACAAACTGTAGGCACAACAAAGTATTCAGGAAACCATGTAGCATTCTAATTGCAAACCAAGTCTACTAAATTCACTCCTGTTTTAGACTATCAGCTAAACCTACTTATGCATGAGGAATGTTAACATAGACAACATGGCATCAATCTCTTCGGATCCGAACAGAAACCTCTCACAATTCTAAGCCCAATTTAAGTAAGCATATTCGGCCCAAAGTCACAATGCGCCCTACGGCCCACAACCTCCGACGTGGGCCGTATCTCGCCCTACGGCCCATTGAATGTAAGGCCTTCGTCCCCCGCGGCATCTAGCATTGCGGCCCATCTAAACTGTTAGCTATTAATGGGCCGGCCTGTTAACCTACGCACGGTAAGAGCCCAGCTCATTTTCACTTGCATGAGCATCACTGCACATATCAGAGCAAAACATGAAGCTAGAGAAAACCCTATATATGCATTCGACATTAAGGATAACATCAATGTCCCAAAAAATTAACAAAGATAACACGACCCTTCATCTCATAAGAAAAAAAAGGGTAACATAATCCTTTTTAGTGAGTAGAGAATACTATAAGCGAATAACTGACTCATAAATCATAATATATGTTCTGCTAGTAAGAAGTAATTGATTTGTCAAAGATTGTTAATTAAGAAACTAAGAGGATGCTTACTTCGTTTTCTGGAGCTGCTGCATCCTGTGAGTTGTAGTTGCAGCTGCGGTACCTCTCCAAGGTTTTGTACATGCTGGAAGTGAAAAATGAAGGAATAAGTGAATTAATTAATGAACCTGAACTTGAATTTAGTACTGAATGAGGTGCAGAACTGCAGATGCAGCATATATAGTCACACATTCGAACATTGTACGTAGAATTAATTAATGGTGAATCAAATTAATTAGGCATGAAGAATAAAAATGCATGGACGCTGTATAGTTTAGCACATTATTATATATAAATTGATTAGTGGAACCCATAAAGCTAGCTAGCTAATTAACAGTGCTCCTTGTATGTATAAATTTTCTAATATAGAAATTACTACAGAAGGTATTATTAATTTAAATTCGAAATAGAATACTATTCTGAATTGAACACACACCTACTGTACAGTTTTGATTTGCGCAAGCTATATATGCTCATGTATACCATAATTAAGCAATTTATATTATTCTGAAGTTTATTCAGAAAGAGTGTGATATATCATACATAAATTCATAATGATAGATCGTAAATTCTAAAACTTTGGTTTTGTTTCATCCAAATCCAATTGACATTTAAGCATTTAAGTTGTGCATATTTATTCAAAGTTTTATTTCAAACGGCACAAAAAAGAATGTACAAGGATGTTCACACATATGAAATGGACAAATTGACGAGGTTGTTAAACAAAGGATATTTAGCGTTCGCGCAAAAAAAAAGGAGAGGATATTTTACAAATTGGTTCAAGGAGAAATCTGTAAGGAGCATTTGTCAAAGCTATGACCTTTGAGTTAATATATGGGCTTAATATAATTTGGTAACCTGATTTCTCTATTATGCATTAATGACATGCATCTTAATTTCAAAGCTACCTTTGAGTTAATATATGAATTGTTGCTACGATGCACTTAATAATGTATTAGATGAAACTTTCATGTTGACGCGATCCTGATTTCTCATAAAAATACACCACATTATCCAAAATAAATAACACCACATGAACTCCTACGGTTAGAAAACACAATAATATTTTCCACTCTACAAGAAAAATCAATGGACTGTAATAATATATTCTCAAAAGAGATATACGTATAATATAACTGTGCTAGCAACTATAACAAAATCTGATGAGCTGAATTTTGTTGACGGCAGGTGGCAACCTAGCAAATCCTGTAGACTATCTTAGCACAACAAATAGAATCAGAACAGAGGAAGATATGTCTTCATATCGTATGGGCTAATTAATAGAAAAGATCAGATTTGAGAATATCTCCTATATAGTCATATTTCTGTAGAATCACTTATCCAAAATGCATAGCAAAATAGAAGCACAGTACAGGGTTTTTGTTCCCTGGTCTATATGACCTTGTTCACAAAATAAAGCTATTCTTGTTGGGGCATTTTTGTTAGGTTTATACATATATACCATTTTTTCCTCTTCTTAATTTGAGCCAAAAAAACGTGTTTGCCACAGAGGATTACATGCTATATATATGACATTTTTTGGACATATCAAATTGAAGTTTTTTATATGCTTGGGAGCAAAGAGAAATTATGTTACATATATCATATTATCAAGAAATTAAAGTAAAGGAGGACAAATAATTTCTATTTTCCACTTGAAAAGTACAAATTTGCACTATGATGCTAATTAGTAGATACCTAATTGGGTTGCTGCATCAGTGGGTAAAATGGCTACTGTGTCTAAGATTGATCCGAAGGGTTCAACAATATTAGCCAATATGTAGAACATACTCCCTCCGTACTCGTAAAGAAGTCGTTTTGGACAGTGACACGGTCTCCAAAACACAATTTTGACTTCTTGTTTCTATAAAATATTTATTGAAAAGTGATATATGTATACTTTTATGAAAGTATTTTTCAAGACAAATCTATTCATATATTTTTTACATTTTCAAACTCAACAACTTGAGAGTTATTCATAATTTATATTCCCAAGGTTTGACTTAAACATTGTCCTAAACGACTTCCTTTATGAGTACGGAGGGAGTAATTTGTAGCATAAACACATGTTTAATTACAAACAAAAGGTGGGGATTGACACTCAGCTATAGTTCCCCATAGTGTATATCCCATTTTAATTTACACAAAATGATGATTTGCGCAACATTCTTTGCATTTCTCTAGGTTCCCACTAATAATACTAGTATATATCATGTACTAATTCACTAACAGTTTTTTTTTGGTTCACTCTCCATATCTCCCATTTCAAAACCTAGATGCCCAAATTAATGTCCCTCTTAGCCCAACCTAGTCTGCCTATATCAGGTGAATATAATAATTAACCTCCGTTCATTTGTTCAGTGACTTTGATTTGTTTAAAATAGGTACAATTTTGCGATTCTCATAAAATTATGGGGAAACTAAATTAACATTCATTTTAGCTTGATGCCAGTTTGGAAACACGGTAAAAGTGGGCATATATAGTGCATTTATTAGGATTACAAAATTAATATGAGGTAGTTAAAAAAACTATAGGAGTAGTTAATAGCTACTTCCTCCATCCAACAATAAGCATTTCTAGAATGTTTAGCAAAGATTAAGATGGTTGGGAAGGGTGATTGGGGGTAAAGTAGCAAGAAAGTTTGAATTAGAGATCATTAATTTGACAAGTACAAGCTAATAGTGCAGGATGTTTATATCCTTGACCAGAACTGGCTCAAATGCTTGTATTGTTGAATGGAGGTAGTAGCACACATATATCTTCTATATATATAGGTATCTGGCCCATATCATAAGTCCATATATATATATATATATGCATACATTTTCTTATAATGTCCCGAAAACTAGTAGTTCCAATAGCATTTCCCATGCACCTTTTTAGAGAGTAATATCAGTAAAAAAAATATTTTTAAGTTTGAACAAGTGGATACCTTTCCAATTTGGTACTGCACGCACCGTTAAAGATTGCAAACGATTAATTCAGTCATTTTTTTAATTCCAAGCATATATAGTAAAAAAACACAGCAAGCAAATTCAAGAATTTTTATGATCTTTTTGTATGGAGCATTTTTGTGATATTGGTGATATATGTTAATTCGTAACTCCTTGAGATGCGACATAGCTAGATAACGGTACCTCAGCTCCATCTCAAGTACAAAAATATAGTAGCTCTTCCAGGAACATAAAAAAGGATCTACCAAACAAGAATTGGAAACCTGTATAATTAACTACTTCATCCTCCAAAGAAAAATTAAAGTTACTCCAAAAGAAAAGTAAAGCCAGAGAACAACTAATTAATTGCTGTGATCCTAGCTATTTCGTTATACATGCATAGTTCCTCTTTTCTATTTACTGTACGAGGTTAATGAAAGTTTCTTTCTTTTTCAGATAATTAATGTAATGAAAGTTTCTTTGTGTTCGTTTTCCAATGGTTCTTTGTCCCAAATTACAAGGCACCCTGTCCTTTAGAAAATTCAAGCTCGGCAACTTTTGATTAATGACCATGCTAATCATACAAGTATATGCTAAGTATTATGCATGTTATATCACTATATTTGTTTTAAAGTATTTTCATATGATGCTAATTTCATATTCATAGAAATATAACATCAAACAAATTAATATTTAAAGTATATCATTGAAAACCGTGTAAAATAAATAAATGAGTGCTTTAATTAGGAGGAACGAATATGTGAGTCAGCAAGACATGTATACCAGATTTAGCAATTGTGCATGTGTGTGTATAGTTAATAATTTCAGAAAACCGATGCATGCAGGACTAGCTCTGCCTATACAGTTCACCGTTCAATTCTCTGAGTAGAACAAGACAGGAAAAAGAGGAAAAACCGCAATTAATGATTCAATACCCTGTCCCAACAACAAATTAACGGCTCATCCAGCTTGGTCACACATGATCAAAGTGAGTTCTGCGTGTCCATATAGGAGTATTATATTGCATGTAATGCGTGCTGACCTGCTTGATATGACACGTCTGAAGCTCTGAAGAAAAACACATCACTTGATGTGTGTGCTTTGCAGGGCAGTAGTAGTATTTCTACTGCTCGGGACTCGAGGAAGATGACCAAAAGAAAAAAAAAAGGAACACCGGATCGGAAAAAGAGAAATAAAACAACAACGTGTACGCGCTCTCTTCAATAGAACAGTAACTAATGGAACAGTAACACACTAAAACACAGATCAGGCTAGCTGTAGTAATAAAAAAGGACTTTGGAAATTAACTAAACGAGTTTAATTAACACTCGTACATACATGTACTATATATACGTGTGTATAATATATCCATCCATGGCTAGCTGGACCACTGGCTAAAACTACAAAGTGTATATACCTCTTGCAAGAAAAGCTATATAGCTATACATATACATAACCGGGCTGGGCCTGCAGGTTCATTTTGACACCAGCTACCGTGCCTCAATTTGGACGAGTCCACAAAGAGGCCATCCGTGTAATAGGCAGAAATGGGAAAAAAGGGAAGTGAAATAATGCAGCTGGTAGAGAGAGAGAGATGAGTCTCAGAAAGTGAAATTCTGAAATAGCTAAAAATGGGAGAAGCAAGCAGCAACCCAGAAGGGATTGCTCCTTTGTTCTTACCCCTTGCGTACAGTTATACTGTGTGTGTGTGCAAAGAGGAACCGCGTCGAGTTGTCGCGCGCCTCACTTTGGAAAATGGAAATAATCAAGAAATCTACCTCGGGATCTGAACTAATTGCATATTATATATATTTTCCTGTTTGATTATTTTGGGATCTGAAGCTAGAACATGTGTGTTTCTTTTTGATAAAAGTAGAGATGAGAGTATATATACGTACGCTCGTGTGTGTGTTTACAGAAAACAAAAGGAGAGAGACAGATCGATGAAGATGAAACTCGATTCATATATATATAGTTCTTTTAGAAAAAAAAGAAGAATCTTTGAATGAAAAATAGCAAGGGAAGAAACAGCAAGATCTTGTCTTGAAGAAAAAAAATAGAAGGATCTATTGTCATGTTTATGCAGATTCAAGGCAAGAAATAGCAACGATTGAGGTTTATTTCGCCAGATCTTGGAGGTCAGACTGCTCAGACGACGTCGGCAAAGGATGAGAAGAAATCAGATATGGCGAACAGATAAGTGAAGCACTAAAAGCACGCGAAAACGAAATCTGATATATGCATGGCAGCTGATACTACAAAAAGAAAGAGAAAAAAAAGAGGGATCGATGGACATAGCCGCTCTCGAAAGCTGACAGATACATATGCCCCAAGATCTATAGCATATGAGCTCCAAGCAGATCGAAGGGAAAAAAAAACAAAGGGGAAAGTGCATGCGTTCGTATATATAAAGATCAACAAAAGCTAGAAATCGATCGACACGATTAAATTAGCTAGCCTGCAGTTCAATTTGTCTCCCCACTCCCTCGATCTCGACCGGATTTTCCCTCAGATCGACGAGTGTTTCACTGATCATAACCATATATACTGTTCTTATCATTTTATTTAGTTAGGGTTAATTGATTATCTTATTAGACTTAGATCGATCGATGATGATGCGCTGCTGCGCCGGAACAAGCACGCCGGCGGCGGCGGCGGCGTTGGTTTGGTGCTATACGTACCATGATGAGCTGGAGAACTCGAAGAGGCGGCCGCGGCCGGAGAAGATGATGAGGGCGACCTCGGCGTCGCAGAGGAGGGAGAGCTCGTAGGCCTTCTTGAGCAGGCCGTTCCTGCGCTTGGCGAACGTCACCTGCCGGCTGATCTTGTTCTCGATCCGCTTCAGCTCCACCTTCCCCCTCCCCATCTTCTTCCTCCTCCTCTCCTCTCTCTCTCTCTCTACTACTCTATCCCCTTTGCAAGCTAGCTTTATGGTGGTGTGGTTTGGCTACCTGATCGTATGCTTGGAGTTTGGGGTCTCGCCTTAAGTAGGAGTAGCATAAGCGCTAGCTAGCTGTAACTCCACACGGCTCGCTCGTCCACACACTTAATTGTAATTAGTACATTAATTACCCCTGTATATTAATCTCTGATCTATCTCGCCATCGATCGATCGGCTTACGTATAAGCTTAGCCATCATAAGAAAAAAAGAAAGATCAAACTGCTGTCACGTCGCTACAGCTAGGCTGGCTAGCTTGCTCCTGTCGCGTTCTTCCATCGATCGATTCTCTCTCCTGCGCAGCGCACTGTAGCACGCTCCTCGCTAGCTATAGCTCTGTGCGGTGGTGGAGGAGGTGATTGGTGTGCGGTTAGTTTCGTAGGATGCAAAAACAAAGCGCAAATCAACTGCGTGCAAAACGCGAGCGGATACGGTGAAGGTGAAGATCTCGCGCGCGCGGCAGGGAGTAAAAGCGTAGTAGTGGCTGGGAGGGCGGAAGAGGGAATGGCAGAGGGTGGGCGACGCGTGTCGACGGGGGGTGGCGCTGGGGGGGAGCAAACGGACAAGGAGGCTAGGGCTTGGTAGGGGGGGCTTCCCTTTCTTCTTCCTGCCTTGTCAGTTTGACAGTAGGGCTCTGCGTCCGGTTCTTTCCTCTTTTCTTTTTAACGCAGCGCTCTGTCTCTCACTCGCTTCAAGTCTGATGGAGTGATGCTACAGTGGACGGTCAATTCGGGGGTTTGTTTTTACGCGGGGAAAAAAATGGTGAAATGTAGGAGTATAGGAGTACAGTCTTTCCGTCTTATAAAAAATAAAGTTGTGTCTAGATTCTGAAGTTGTTTTTTTTTCAACGAAGAGTATTATCTTCGTATGTTAGATATGAATTTAAAAAATATTATTTTTTTTTGGACATAGGGAGTATGGGAGATAGCTTGGACATTTGGTCCCACTCTCCATGCTAAAAAAAAAGGGGTTATCCCATCTGGTTGGCTATGTCGGTGACTATCTTATCCGACTAGCCAAATCAAGAAATTGAGTGATCAAACTTGGCAGAGGGAATAGTTTGACAGCGAGAGCAACTTTATTGTTGAGAGAAGTCCATGTGCCTCCACCCACACCCACCAGCACCGCCGCCTTCTTACCTAGGAGTGTCATGCATCCCTGTTGAGAAGTGGAACTCTGCCATGCCAAGCCAAGGTGTCGTCACCTCTCCGCGAGGCCGCCACCGTTGCCTCCACACTAAGCCCAAGAGTACGCCGCCTTTCGTCTTTCCACCGGCCTCTATCTCGATTATACTCTCAAGCTCGCCGGAAATAGCCGAGCTTGGCAGACTCCTTCATACATCCGCTAGTGTTGCCTCTTCCTCGTGTTGCCGTCACTGCGGAAATTCCAAGCGGTGGCGGTCCATCTTGTATGGCAGGAGAGTGGTGAGCTTGATCGCCTTCATGCATTGAAATTGTGTTGATTGAGATGCTGAATTTGTGCTGACCAAATTAGCCGTTGGAATTTACGAAGTGAAATATGAAGATTTAATTTGAGTAAATAGGATTGTAAGAATATGAAGAGGGAATCTCTTGACATGTACAGTATGTTTTCTCTTGGCTATGGAGATGTTTTTTTTTTCCCTCGCCTTGGTTCAAACTGTTTGGGAGCCTTGCAGGTTTGAGTATAAATGCAGTGCGAACTACGAAGGAATCTTTTTTTGTGCTGGAAAGGGAAAGAGCAGGATTAGCTATTTTCCTCGATCTGCATGTACATCACACGTTCCAAACGTTCTTTGCTTTCTCCAAGGAAAACGAATTGTCAGGTTCTTGGCCTACATGCAGCCTGGTTGGATATACTGATCCGTATTGCCCTGTTTCTTTATTTGAGTAACAAGCTGCACGTGCGTATTAGAGTATATATGACTTGAATTCGTAAGAGTATTTAATTTGTGTCATTGTGTGTCAATGTGGTGTTTGATTAAAGTAGTACTTAATTTATAGCATATGAAAATCCAGCATTATTTTGCACATCTGTTTTTTTTGGTGGGGTTTTCTCATAGACCTGCATGAATAGGTTCTCAAGTAACGTCGTGTGTCAATTTTTCATGCATATATGCGTGGCCCTAAATAGCCAAATGTGCAGTGTTGTCACCCCTAGGTAGGTGGTACAACAAATTTGTAGTTTCAGATATATTAATTGAAACAATATTCTCTCCTGTTCCTTGACCACGTGGACCCATATGAACACAGAACATTCATGCTACAGATATACACATTTGAGCACAAACTGTGGTATATTGCCCTTTGGCAACACTGTACCTGTGTGAGCAATGCAAGGTTCCCTTTTTTCAGTTAGTAGCTAGGGGAGGTATAATGTTAAATGCCATCGTAAAGAGCTGATTGAAGTGATAAATCAAATATCCATATGTTTTAATTTGTAGGTGCACCACACATATTTGCACATGAACAAATCGATCTGTTTTATGTGGTTGCACCACATTTGCCCACGACATCAGATGCTATTCATCTATACCAGGATCCATTTAAAAAACTAATTTTTTATTAGCTATAACTTGAAATATTTGAAGTTTGTAATTTTGCTTTTGGCTTGCTATAAAATACAAGTATAAATGGCACAAGAAACAAACTAAATTAACCTATCTCGAGCGGAAACTGTTCATGACCCTAATTGGACCAATTTGGCAAAAACTGTTTGTGACCTACTCCCTCTGTTAAAAATAAAAAAAAATCTAGCAATGAACTTGTCCAGATTCATCCTTAAGATTTGGAGTTTCTTAAACAGACGGAGTATTGCGTTAATGACCAAATCCATTGCCACCGCGCTTACAGCAATGCTAACTAGAAATGAAGCCATTATCACTTACTACCTCCGTTTTAACGTTTTAAAATGTTTGACGCCGTTGACTTTTTTAAACATGTTTGACCGTTCGTCTTATTCAAAAAATTTAAGTAATTATTAATTCTTTTCCTATCATTTGATTCATTGTTAAATATATTTTTATATAGGCATATAATTTTACATATTTCACAAAAGTTTTTGAATTAGACAAACGGTCAAACATGTGCTAAAAAGTCAACGGTATCAAATATTTTGAAACGGAAGGAGTATTTACATTGCACGTTTTTTTTCAATTACAATTACAAAAGAGATGCACAAGAGGGCACACACACCACTACATAACACAGCTACATATGTGCAGGTGTCATGCGACTGTGCCTCTTAAGGATGCATCTATATTTACGAATGATGTAAATAAATCCACGCATGAATTGAAGTATAGAGCGAATTGAAAGGACAGTGAGTTTTTCTTAGAATGAATGGAACTATGGAAGGACAGCAAGTGCCACTGTGTGCAAGGACAGCACTGTTCGCAGGGGTACACGCAAAAAATGACATTTGCTGGCAACGCAGCTATCCACCAATCATGGCGTCGTGCCATAGAGAACCACCATATACTCCTATATTGGAATGTACAGTATATATCTTGTTTCCTTCTCATCCAATGTAGAATTGTTCGTTAGGAAGAACATGATTTTCGGAATTTTAACATTATAATGATATTAAGGAAAACCCATATCTAAAAAGATTTGGAAAATACTGTGGCGATGTGCGAAATATGTTGCCACACCGGGTGGCACGGAAAAATGTACTATACTCTCTCTATCCCAAAATATAGCAATCTAACACCGAATTAGACATATCTTTAGACTATATATGAATCTATATGGTCCTTCTGTCCGAATTAATTTTTATAGTATGTGTATTTGTATTATGTATCAATCCGGTCATAGGTTATAGGCACTGGGACGGAGAGTAACATTTAAGGGTAATTTTGTTTTTATCTATCACATTAAATGGTTTAATTAATGGGTAAGTTTACCATCGTCTTTAGTATTCGGAGGTATAGTAGCATAATTTATAATGACTTTCTCAAGTACCTAAAATATCTATTAAAGACTGTAAAATTTCTCTCAATTGATACATCAGCATATACTTGTTCGAATAAATTTAGTATGGCAATTTATCTAAAATATTTCTAAGGAAAATATCTATTTCACAAGAAATTAATGTGCTGCAGCCACATATCCATGACATAGATATTAATTAATTACTTGGTGTGATTTTTTTAAAAATTTAACAGCTACTCCATACAGAGTTAAGTATACGCTGTCCCAGAATCCATGAAACCAATATTTTTAAAATTTTGGCAATTAATGCTTAAGTATGTGCAAAAGATAAATTGGCTATATTAATAATAATAAGGGGCAATTGCATCCATGCCCCCACTTTGAAAGCCAATTGTTGTTTTGCCCCTATTTTTTAGGGTTTGCATTTTTACCCCCACTTTTTGAATTTGAAGCAGCCGTCTACTCCCATTTGTGACAGCCGTTTGGTGGGTCCCACATTATGTGTTAAAGAAATACAAAAAGAAATTAAAAAAAAGGTTTTAGGAATTATGTAATGACACTTCTACCCCTGAGGGAAAGTGAATGGATAGGGTTCTTCTCTTCCCGTGCGTCGGGACTCCCTGGGTCGAGTCAACTCAAAACCCTAGCAAGCTAGCGCGACGACGGCGGCGGCGAGCGCATGCGGCGGTGAGGCGGCGGCGAGGGAGCCCGCGCGGCGCGGAGGTGGCGGCCGAGGCGCGCGCGAGAGGCGCGCGAGGCGGCGGCGGGGAGGTGGCGGCAAGGGAGGCGGCGGCGAGGGAGCTCTTGTGGCGGTGAGGCGGCGGCCGAGGCACGCGCGGGAGGGAGCTCGCGCGGCGGGGAGGCGGCGTCGGTGGTGGCCGCGCGAGGAGGCGGCGGCGGCCGTGCGAGGAGGCGGTGGCCGCCGCCGCTGCCGCGGGTGCGCGAGGCCGCGGCCGAGGGCGTGCGCCGGCGCCCGCTCGCAGGAGGTTCACAGCCGGCGGCCAGTTCTCTTCCACGTGGAGGCGGCCTCTCACAGCCGAGGGCAAGATAAGGCAGAAAAGGGGAAGTTGTTGGCAATGGAGGAAATCATATCAATGGAGCTAATTTTGATGGAAGAGTTCAAC